ATGGATTTTCGATCTGGTTATAACTGAACCTGTTTTCATCTGACCTGCCCGTCCTGTGACTGGGACTAGATCTTGGGAGCCCAGTGGTACCCTTTACCTTTTTGTTTGGGTTCTGGGTTCCCTTATCAAGTAATCAAACCCCCCAAAAAGGCTGCCCTTATTAGAATATGGATACTGGCTACCAAGAGATCGATTGCTTTAAAGCTTTATCGCCCCAATTCCAACTGCAGTTAGCAGGTGTACCTCTTTAGGCATTCAGGGTTGAGGGTGTTAGGCTTTCGGGTTTAGGGGTTAGTGTTTAGGGGCATAGCTGTCGCGTTTTGGTGGACCTCAGGGCGGTTCAGGGTTCCAAGGCTCTGCTAAGCTACCAAGGGCGTTTCAACCAAAATCCCCGAGGCACTCGGAGGCGTCCTGTTCATCGATGAGGTGCTCGATGCAGTTTAGGGTTTAGGGTTTAGGGTTTAGGGTCTAGGGTTAAAGTGGGGTTTCGGGTTGGTGGCCGCTGTGCGTGTTTGATTTTGTCCGGTTTGAGGAGCTCGTCCTCAGGGGTGAGATTTTCCTTCCGGGTTCCCTAAACCCTAAACCCTAAACCTTAAACCCTAAACCCTAAACCCCAAACCCTAAACCCTAAACCCTAAGCTCACGGGTTGAACTAAGGATCGGAGCTTTAGGGTTTAAAGCTTCTAAGGTTTGCGAGGAACGTTACGGGGTACAGCCAGACTTCAGCCTTACACCCCTGCTAGGATGCCCAGTAGCACCCTTATTCCCCTTTTTTGGGGGGTTTAGGTTCCCTTATGAACCCCTTTAAGCAAAAAGGGGCACCCTTTTTAAGCCTTGGTTACTGGGCAGCCTAGCCTGAACTCCGCCAACACCCTCAAGGTCGACCTTGACTCTTTGAGCCCCTCAAAAACACCTCAGACCTACTGAAGCCCTAAACCCTCAACTTAGGGCTTAGGGTTTAGGGTTTATTAGGGTTTAGGGTTTAGGGTTAAACCTCAGGGTTTAGGGTTTAGGGTTCTCCTGAAACCCCGCGCCGTTCAGATTCCGCGCGCGAGGCGTATGCCCTCGTCGGCGAGGATGGTCGGGACTCCTTCGGCCGGGAGGCCCTGGACACCCTGATCAAGCTCGTGGAGGCCGGACCTACGGTTTAGGGTTTAGGGTTGAGGGTTTAGGGTTTAGGGTTTAGGGCGTGCCAAACGGAAGCGCGCTTTGGGAGCGCGCGGTAGTCTGCAGACCTACCCACCCCAAGACCGCCCACTTACAACTCTGAAGGAGTTAAAGCCGTTTATTTTTTTACAAAGCATCACATGAGTCAGCACTCACGCCCTTTTTGGGGATTTCCACAAGGTGCGTGGACCAGGCGCAAAGCTGCAGCAGGCGGAAACGAGGCAGGGCCCGTGAAGACAGCTTGGGTTGGCGCGAAGGGGCTAAGGGATGGGCCAGGAACAGAGAAAAGCAACGAGGCTTGGTTGGCGCGAAGGGGCTCCAGCCAGGAAGAACACACAGTGAACAGCTGGGGTTAACCAAAAAAACCACTGGTAGCTTGGCTTGGCGCGAATGGGGTAAGGTGGGGCGCCGAACCAGGGTCAGGACCAGGCACAAAGTTGCAGCAAACGGAAGTGAGGCAGGACAGATTGGGTTGGCGCGAAGGGCCAAAGCCAGAGGGAGAGCCCCGAAACAGGACACAAACTGGTGCGCGGACAGCTTGGCTTGGCGCAAGGGGGTAAGATGACTCGAACAGGCCGCAAAACTAGTCAGGGCAGAGGGTCAGGGCCAGGGCCAGGCTCGTCGGGGCCAGGGCCGGCTCAGACGCGACCAAAGCCAGGGCGGGCCAGGGCCAGGGCCAGGGCCAGGGCCAGGGTCAGGGGCAGGGCCAGGGCCAGGGTCAGGGCCAGGGCAGAACAGGGCCACCAGGCCAAATGCCCAACGGCAGGGCCAGGCCAGGCGAGGGCCAGGCCAGGGCCAGGGCCAGGGCCAGGGCCAGGGCCAGGGCCAGGGCCAGGGCCAGGGCCAGGGCCAGGGCCAGGGCCAGGGCCAGGGCCAGGGCCAGGGCCAGGGCCAGGGCCAGGGCCAGGGCCAGGGCCAGGGCCGGGCCAGGGCCGGGCCAGGCCAGGGCCAGGGCCCAGAGACAGGGCCAGGGCCAGGGCCAGGGCCAGGGCCAGGGCCAGGGCCAGGGCCAGGGCCCAGGGCCAGAGCCAGAGCCAAGGGCCAAAGGGCATTTTTGGCCAGACCCCTGCCTGCCCCAACAAAACCCAGGGCCCCCCAGCCGCACGGAGGGACCAGGGGTCTCAAGGGGCCGTCCCAGGGGCCCCCCAATGCAGGACCCGACCATGTGCGCGGACAGCTGGGGGGGTAATATAATATAATACAGTGACAACTGCTGACTCGGCCTGTGCCTGCCTGGAGGGTAAGCCAGCCTGGAGGCCAGCTCGGTCGCCCGCCTGGGGCTCCCTCGCAGGGTCACTGAGCGCTCCTACCCCAAAAGACAAGAGAGTGGGGTGGCGGGCGGGTTTAGGGTTTAGGGTTTAGGGTTTAGGGTTTAGGGTTTAGGGTTTAGGGTTTAGGGTTTAGGGTTTAGGGTTTAGGGTTTAGGGTTTAGGTTTTAGTGTTTAGGGTTTAGGGTTTAGGGTTTAGGGTTTAGGGTTTAGGGTTTAGGGTTTAGGGTTTAGGGTTTAGGGTTTAGGGTTTAGGGTTTAGGGTTTAGGCCCAAAACCGCAAGCCCTAAACTCTAAGCGCGTAAGCCCTAAACCCTGAACTTTTCGGGTCTTGCGAGGCCTCAAGAACGTGTCGGGAGTTGAAGTATACTCGGATGACTCTTGTATAGCCTGAGGGGGGAATGACGGGATGAGACTTACATACCCAAAGCACTCAGCCCTTAAAACTCAACCCTCAACTTTCGACCCTCAACCACCCTACTAAACCCTTGAATAAATTCAACTTTCACTCCGTAACCCTAAGCCCTGGACCATCCCTCCAAGCAGTGGGGGCGGGACTTCGAGATCACATTGAAACCCTCGGGTTTGGGGTTTAGGGTTGGGTCGAAGGCTTCGAGGCTTTTTTGAGCTTTTATGCCCCTTACCCCTAAACCCCTCAACCCTAAACCTCTATGCCGGTAACCCCTGAACCCTCAAACCCTAACCTAAACACCTGAGCCCTAAACGCTAAAACCTCTAGACCTTGATCTGTGAGGACTACCGGCAGGACCTGGCCGGGCCCTCGCACAGAGAATAACCCGGACTCGATTTAGGGCGCTAGGATATGGATTTCAAGGCTTCTGGCTTGATGACTTATGACTGAGGGTTTTTGGGTTGCTGGGTCAAGGGTTGCACGGCTATCTAAGTGTTTTTGAGCTAGGACGGTTTAAAACGATGGCCCCCTTTCCCTTTCATTTTGCTCAGTAGCTTGCTTAGGGCTCAGGTGCAGAAGCCCTATTTCCGCCCTGCGCCGTTTAGGTTAAGGTTGTTGCTGCATGGTTGGGGGGCATTGCATGTTTCCCCTCAACCCTACAACCTAAAAGCCAAAACCCAAGACAGGCCTAAACCTACCTGCCCCCCCCCCCCCCCCCACAAAGAAAGGTCGTTATCTTGGCCGGGTACAGCTCCGAGATGGCACGGCTGCCGCCCGGCGGATCTGTTCACGGTTTCGCCATTTAGGGCCTGGTGGCCTTGCAAGTCAAGGTTCATCACAGGTCTTTCTGATTCATTCATTATGCATGGTGCGTCTTCTTAGGGTTTAAGGGTGGGGGTCTTTAAAGTTCCCTTTTGGGCGATTGCTTTTGCAATGATTCATGTTGATTCGTAACCCTAGTCTTTGTAGCCTAGTAGGTAATCCAAAGACGCTTACTCCTAGAGAATGAAAGCCTTTGCTAGGTAGGCCCTAATCCCGTCTCAGCCCGAACAAAGCCCTACAAAGACCTAAATCCCACCTTCCCGAAATGAAAGCAGCAGCCCAGGATTGAAGCGAATCCGGGCTTGCGCTCCCGCTTCCCGACGGTCATCGAGTTCGAGGCAGTGCAGGGTTTCGCGGCTAGGGTTAGAGCTTCGTGGGCTTTATGGGGCTATTGTAGGGTTTAGGGTTGGGGGTTAGCTTGGGTGATGTGTAGGGTAACGTTTAAACAAAATGTTCATTCTGCTTCAGGGCTAAAACTTCTTACATTTCCCAGGTTTAGGGCATCGGGTTTGGCATGTTACTTGGCGGTTCGTGACTAGTTAAAAGTTGGGTTATAAAGAGGGTAAGTGCAAATGCAACTGATTATCATTCAACCTCTTTCATTGGGCGCCTACTTACAACTACCCATGAACCTCCTTTTAGTCCATCCTTTGGGGCGAAAGTCTTGCAGAGGACTACACCTGCGAGGAGCTTCTCGAGATTGCCACCGGAATGCTCCTGCAGGCGCATAATCGTTTAGGGTTTAGGGTTTGGGGTTTAGGGTTTGGGGTTTAGGGTTTAGGGTTTGGGGTTTAGGGTTTATTGTTTTGGGTTTTAGGGTTTAGGGTTCAGCCCTAAAACCCCCCCTTGAACCCGAAACCAAACCCTGGAAAGGAAGACAGTTCGTTGCTTTTTTGTTTTGTTTTACTAAGTGCCGTTGCCATAGCAATATCGTATGGAGTCAAAAAAAGAAAAAAGGTGGCTTCCTTACTGTGGAGGATGTCATGGTCCTGTCCGAGCCAGCCGCCAGCGATCGGCTGCGCGGGTTGCTGCAGAAGGCCCGGTCAAGGGAAGGGTTTAGGGAGGGTTTAGGGTTTAGGGTTTAGGGTTTAGGGTTTAGGGTTTAGGGTTTAGGGTTTAGGGTTTAGGGTTTAGGGTTTAGGGTTTAGGGTTTAGGGTTTAGGGTTTAGGGTTTAGGGTTTAGGAGAAGTCTTCCGCTGCATTGCCCGTGCGTGGGGTCACCCCAGACTGAGCCGTCGGAACTCTGCATCTCGACATAGGAACCCTGCACCCCCAGTCTCTACACCAGCCCCCAAACTGGGTTTTGGAGTACTATACTTTAATACAGTACATACTTTTTTCCAGGGTCTGCTCCAAAGTAGCGTAAACCTCTTGAAACTGGGTTTTGGAGTACTAGACTTTAGTAGTTTTTTTTGGTTCTGGGTTCCTATTATTGCTTCTTATGCCTACAAGTACATACTTTTTTCTCCAGGGTTTAGGGTAAAGTAGGGTAAACCTCTTAAGACACTTACTTCAGTGCCCAAACCCTAAGCCTACACCCTCAGCCTTGTGAGACTGTCCCCAAGCCCGGCAAGAAGACGGACCGGCAAGCGGGAAACGGACGCCGGGAGCCCAGCACGAAGCGTTTAGGGTGCGCGGGGAGGGGGGGGGGGGCATTTGCGCACAGCAATAATCTTCTTAAGGCCTCAGCACGTTTGAGGTAGAGCCCGATTTCTTCCTTATTCAACCAGACAGGCTGTAGCTTTGGGAGAATGTTTTTCCATTTTTGTTGGGGGCTTTGAGGGTTCTAGAGTAGCTTTATAGGGTTTATTGCTTAGGTTGGGGGGGTTGGGGCCGGGGGGGGGGGTGGAGGAGGCTTGGCATGGATTAGAGAGAACCTATCTTCAGTTACTAGGCTGCGGATATGTCGAGTATCATATGGTTTCCTTGTGAGAATAAGATCCCCCCTAAACCCTATAAACCTCAATCCCTAAGCATTCATCCAAGTTGCATTGCCAGCAGGGCCAAAGTCACTTCATCTGGCTGGTTCTTAGTAGGGAATGAGGGAATTCAGGTACCGTGTGTAATCCCTTAGTGTATATACATCTACATATCTATATCTGTATCTATATCTATGTCTATATCTATATCTATATCTATATGGGGCCCGAATTCCTCATTCCCGACTAAGAACCACGGGGTCATCCGCATCTACACCTTCAGAGGTTTTAGGCTTCGGGGTGGGTGTCGGGCTTCAGGGTTTAGGGGTCTGTTGGCAGTGAGCCTTTCATCACAGGCCCCCTGCATCCTCTGCATTGATGTAAACATCGTTCAGCCCTTGGTGTTGCTAGGGGCTGGCGCCTACGCTCGTGCATGTTTTTGTGCAGCTGGCAGGTCGGTAGTCGTAGCAAGGAGTCGCAGAAACTGAGCCGCAGATTCATGTTCTTTGTCCAGGTGACGGAGAAGCAGCTGTCTGTGCCTGGGCGAGAGTTTCGCCATTTGTGCTGGATACTGGCGAATTTGCGACTGAAGGGCAATGCTCAGCAGGACAAGTTGGGGCGATTGTTTGGTGAGCTGGTCCTGCCTTTTTTGGCCGTGGCTTTTCCATCCCGCTCCATGGTGGCTGCAGGAGGGAGGCATACTTGCGCCGTGACGGCGAGCAGGGAGCTGGTGTGCTTTGGAGTCTGCAACGAGTGGTGGCACGGCGGGTGCGACGTGCCGGCAGACCTGGGGCCCGTGGTGGCCGTTGCTGGAAAAGGTTTTCACACCTGCGCCGTGAAGGCGAGCCCACGCCACGTGGACGCCACCTCTCGCTGCACACCTCCGCAACCAAGGCGGAGCACCACCGCCTCGCAACCCCCCGAGAGAGGCTTCCCTACGCGCGCGACTTCCTGGCGTACCCAACTCCTGAAGCTGCCGCCCAGGGGGGGGGGGCTCCCGCGCCCTGCTGGCGCGGACGTCGCTGGCGGCGGTGCCGCGCTGGGGGCGTGGCGGGGCCCTCCGCTGGGCGGGCTTCCTGCGCGGCGCGGGTGCTCTGAAGCAGGCCGTCAGCAAGGCGCTGCGGAGGGTGATTCCCGCTGGGGCCCCGCTCGCAGCATTTATCGTTGCTGGCCAGTGCGACGTGCCGGCAGACTTGGGGCCCGTGGTGGCCGTTGCTGGAGGAGGTGCTCACACCTGCGCCGTGAAGGCGAGCGGGGAGCTGGTGTGCTTTGGGTGGAACTTCGACGGCCAGTGCGCCGTGCCGGCAGACTTGGGGGCCGTTGCTGTAGCAGGTTGGGAGTTGGTGCGTTTTGGCGCCATTTTGGGGCTAACTTTGACGGTCAGTGCGACGTGCCGACAGACCTGGGCCGCCTGGGCCCATTCAGTTTTCAGGGAAGCACCGCTGCGGATTCAGTCGTGCAGCGGTGCATCACGCCGAGGCTGCCTTGGAGATCCATCCAGACGAGGCGGCCGCCATAGTGGCTCAGCAGGAAGTCTCGCTCATCGAGCACAACATCCACTCCAGCAGCTGGCCGGCGAAGCCGGCGGAGCGCCCAGTGCAGGTCACAACCGGTTTTGTCGCGTGCTTCTGCTGGAGTTCAGCCGCTCCCCGCCCGAGCTGAACGAGGTCCTGGAGCAGTCCATCGCTCTGCAGCCGACCCGGGAAGCCCTCGCCCGCGAGGGCTACTCCTGGCGCCAGCCCACCGGCGCCAAGGTCGGAGAGCAGCAACGACCACCATGTACGTGTGTAGGTTTAGGGTTTAGGATTTAGGGATCAGGGTTTATAGGGTTTAGGGTATGTAGGTTTGTATGTTTGTGCATGTACTATTGCTACACAGAGCCTGAAGGGACCCGTGGAACTTGGGTACTCAAACAGAGGCCATAATTCAGAGATCCGGCCACGCACATTTCCCAAGCAATGACCAAAGACGGCACGTGCCCCGCAGGTCTTTTTGGCGCCCGAGCTCTTCCGTTTGTTCCGCAGCCACCACGAAATCGAGCTGCGGTCCCACCATGGTGTCGGAGGACACTCCGGGGCGGCTTCCCCAAAGCGACAAACCTTAAGAAACACCGTCATCTGGGAACGTGTGTTGGATCGCTCGAGACTTGTAGCTTTACCCTTGCGATCCGTTCAATGATCTGCGTCTAGAGCAGTATGTACGAAAGCCCTCACCAGCAAGCTGCCCCTGACCTGCAGCACTCCTCCACCTAAATCCCTAAAGCCCTCAACCCCTGCAGAACCCAAAGCCTTAACTAAATCCCTAAAACCCCATACCCTATCCATCCGGAAAACCCTGAAGAGGACCTCGAGCCCGACGTGCTGGAGGCCGTGGGGCGGCTGCGGTCCAGGCTACAGGTCCGACTCCGGCGCGCGGACACGGTGGCGCTGGCCGTCCCCGGGCCGCACCATCCATCAGCATCCCAACAGGTTTGGGCGACTAGGGCTTGAGGGTTTTAAGCTGTTTAGGTCTCCAGCCCAGCTTCCCTAAGAGGTGTAGGCGTGTCAAGCTTAAGTATAGAGTACTACTCTCAAGAACCCTAAACACCCCTAAGGCATCTGAAGCCTTGAAGCCACAAACCCCAACAACGGGGCAAACCCTAAACCCTAAACCCTAAACCCTAAACCCTAAACCCTAAACCCTAAACCCTAAACCCTAAACCCTAAACCCTAAACCCTAAACCCTAAACCCTAAACCCAGGGGCCCTCTGAGGATGGCGATGGGCTCGTGCTCGTGCAGCGAACCTTCCTCCACACCCCGGCCGCGTGCCTCGCGAACGCGGCCTCCGTGGCGCAGTCCACCACCGAGGCAGGTCTTGGGCGTATAGGGTTTAGGGTTTAGGGTTTAGGGTTTAAGGTTTAGGGTTTAGGGTTTAGGGTTTGAGGGCTGCAGGGTTGAGGCTTTAGGGTTGCTTGGGCATGAGGTTCTTGGGTTGGGGGGTAGTCGCCGCGCTCGGGCGAGAGACGTCGCACCCGCACATGCACCGTCCGTATTCCAAGTTCTGAACGACAACCCTCTCAGTTTTTCCGTGAAACCCTAAACCCTAAACCCTAAACCCTAAACCCTAAACCCTAAACCCTAAACCCTAAACCCTAAACCCTAAACCCTAAACCCCCCGCCCCCCAACGTTCTGCCCCTGCGCCGTACGCTCCCAAGAGCCCCTAAACCTGTCGCCAAAACGTGTTTAGGGCTTAAGGGCTTCGGGCTCGTGAGGAAAGACCTTAACGAACAGAATGAAAGAGATAACAACAGACTCATGAAATTACTGTGCAAAAGTTCCCTAAAATAGACTAGGTCTACTGGGGAATGTTGGCGGATTACAGAGAAAGTATTGATGTAATTTGAGTCTCACCTTGAGTTCCAGAGAACGTGGGAGCTTCCATTAGTAAGCCATCCTAAGGACCGGGGTTTTTTTGACCATCAGCAATCCTGGTTCTGGGTGCTCCCATCAAAATCCAGTCCCAAGTCCAGATCAATTGTATTTTGGGGTTCTTTTGATGGTCCCGGTCCAAGAGCCCCATTTTGCCTCGCGGGCTCTTGTGGATTCGCTTGCCTTCGTTCTGTGTGCATCTGTATTTCGCCTCGGTCCCGTGCGCATGCGACTGTCCGCGCGTTTAGGCCCAGGTGCCTTTTGGAGTTATCCTGGAGTGCCTTGTAGGCATGCTTGGAGTGCTCGTGGAATGCTCTTTCAGTGGTCTTGCACTGTTTGCGGCTGGGGTCTACGCCAACATACTTCAGCAACCAGCGTAATTCATCACAAAGCATGGGGCCCCTAAACCCTAAACCCTAAACCCTAAACCCTAAACCCTAAACCCTAAACCCTAAACCCTAAACCCTAAACCCTAAACCCTAAACCCTAAACCCCAGCTTTTGAGAGTACGGTCCGCCACCCGAGGCCCATGCACACCATGGCGTGAACCCGCGGCGGGTCCTGGCCGGCTACATGTACGTAGTATAGGGGGTTCTTTGGTAGAAAAAGGGTTTAGGGTTCAGGCTTAAAGGGGGTACATGGTCATGAGGGTTAGGGTTTTAGGGTTTAGGGTTTAGGGAGAGAGGGATCGCAAGTCGATACTGTTGCTATAATCACTTCGGCTCCTATGGTGCAGCTAAGCCGCTGTCAAGTGTTTGCAAGTTGTTTGCTGGTTCTTACATTTAGTGCCTTATATCCCTACTACACCGCTTCAAGACATTAATAAAAGGGCACCGAATAGCCTGGTTCCCTACTACAATCGAGCCAGTAGGTTTTGTCGTTTACAGTCTGCAGCTTACAGCAGTCGCCGGGGTCGCTTTGATGCTCCAAGTTCTATCTATCCTGCTGTGCTGGATGCTGTAGACACCATCGTTATCCTAAACCAAACACGCTCAATCTTCAGCCATAACCCCGTTGACGTTAAGAAGCTGAGCCTCAAAATTGGCCCGTGCAGTTCGCACTCTGCTTACTGCGCTCCGGCTGTCAGCCCTGCAGTGTCGGGAAGTCCATGTCGAGACTCTGTGTCGGCAGGGTTTAGGGTTCTGGGCGACATCAGCAGTGGCGAGTTCGAAGACTCTAAACCCAAACTCTATAAACCCCATACAACACCCTACAACCCAAAGCCCCACAAGCTAAGGCCCAAGCCCTTTATCCTAAACGGAGACGAGTAAGACAACGGCAAGCCGTTCAGCATATGAATATGAAGCTGATAGTCCAAGCGGCGGCCATGGTAGGTCTGAATCCGGCTTAGTGTCTAGGGCTTAAATATGGGGACTCAAAAGGCACATTATTTGCAGCGATTCGGATGGATGTTCTGGCATTTCCCGTGTGATCTGGCACAGCTTTGATGTCGTGGCACGGATCAGAAATCACAAGCCCCGTCAAGCGGACGCATGTAATGGTAGCTCTGGCAGTTCGCATTCTGCTTACTGCTGAGAGCTGCGGCACGATGCTCGCGCTCCAGAAAAGGACGTGCTACAGATTCTACGCTGCAGCGGAATAGTCAGTTTATTGCGGCCCCCAAACCCCGAAAACTCCGAAACCTCTAAACCTTGGCCTGCTCAATAGCGCGAAATCCTGCGTCTGATAGCTCGCACGACGTTTTCGGGTTTCGAGTCTACTTAAGGAGGCTCTCATGGGTAGTTCCGAGTAGGGCTTGGGGGTAAGGTTTGGGTCTAATTGGGGTTTAGATGGGTTTAGGGTTTACAGCTCCTTCTGCAAGTGTCAAGCCGATTCCCTGAATCGTGAGATCCCAACAACATGTCGTACGACAAGGTTTACGGCCTGAGTCTACAGCTTGTGGCTTGTCTTTCATTACACCCCCCCCCCCCCCCTTCAACAAGGGAATCGTACAGGGGGGTCTCCAAACCATAAACCCTAAACCCTAAACCCTAAACCCCAAACCCCAAACCCCAAACCCCAAACCCTAAACCCTAAACCCTAAACCCTAGACCCTAAACCCTAAACCCTAAACCCTAAAACCCTAAACCCTAAACCCCTAAACCCGAAACCCTAAACCAATCACCCGTAGAGTGGAGACTGCCAAGGCGCCGTCCGCAACATCCTGGAGCGCGCGAAGCGAAACCAGGTGCGGCGACGTTGCGGGTTTAGGGCTTAGGGTTTTTAGGGTTTGTAGGGTTTCAGGCTTTCAGGCTTTCAGGCTTTCAGGGTATAGAGGGTTTCAGGGTTTAGGGTTCAAGGTTTATAGGGTTTCGGGGCGGTTCTTGAGGTTCAGGGCTCAGGGTCTTAAGGCTAGGGTTTAGGGTTTATGGTTTGAGGGGTGAGGTTAAGCAGCACTTTGAGTCGCGTGCTGCGGGCGGCTGAGTGTCGGTTGGCCTGAGGGGATCTGTGGTCGGGCTGGCTGCAGAATGGAGTTTGAGGTTTAGGGTTTAGGGTTTAGGGCCAGTTTAGGGTTTAGGGTTTAGGGTATAGGGTTTAGGGTGAAGAAACACTTTGAACCATTGTTGTTTGGTTTGCTTGGTGCATCTCAGTACAGTAAACCCGATGTACCTTAGCTCAACAGAAGGAGCCCTATATCGCCTAAGGCATATCCTACGAGCACATTCAGGAATAGTTGGTTTTTAACGTTTACAGCGGGCTTATACTTTGAAGCAACCCTAAACCCCAAACCCTAAACCCTAAACCCTAAACCCTGAACCCTCAACCCTAAACCCTAAACTGCAAGGGCTTTGTTGGTTGCAGCGAGAGGGCCTGGTCATGAAGCTCTGCACTCCCCGAGGCCCGTAGCGGGAGCTCTTCTTAGCCTCGATATCCTAAAGCCTGTAGACTTTTTAACCCTGCCTAAACCCGAACAACTTTTTACCCTCTAAACCCCAAACCACAAACCTTGAATCCTAAACCCTAAACCCTAAACTCTAAGCCCTAAACCCTAAACCCCACGAGCCCGATAAGCTGCAGGCTTTGCGGCTTCAGAAGGAAGTCACGGAAGGAAAGAATCACAACCAGACGGACCGGCTGTGGGGTGCCTTCCGTGCTCTTTGTGTCGATTGTTTAGTTTTTTTTTTTTGGGGGTGGGGGGGGGGGAGGGAGGGAGGGGAGGTTTAGGGTTTAGGCTTGGGTTTAGAGTTTGGGTTCTTGGGGGGGGGGGGGGGGCAGTTGAAGTGCCCTAAACCCTAAACCCTAAACCCTAAACCGCAAGGACATGTGCACACTGATGCCGCAAGACTTCGACGGCTGCACCTCGGCTCATCTTCACAGCAGGGCCAGGGATGCCCAGGGGCCCTAAACCCTAAACCCTAAACCCTAAACCCTAAACCCTAAACCCTAAACTTCCTGTATTCCCCGTTTAGTTAGAGTTAGGGTGAGGATCCCTTGTAAGAGCCCTCAACCCGCAAACCCGTCGTTGGGTAACCTTGGCAGGAGCAGAGGGCTTCAGAGGGAATGGCACAGGGCTTTGGGGCTTGCGGTTTTTGGGTTGACGGTTAGGCTTGTGGGGTTTAGAGGGGTTTCGGGTGAAGGGGTTAGCAAGGGTGCCGTACGGCCTGCATTCCCCTTCTTCGGGGCAGCCGTTTCTATGTATATAGTTCTGTGCAACTCTCGGTGCAAAACCCAAAACCCTCCAAACCGCCCTCGATTGATTCGGGCCTCTTTTGTTGGCGTGCGCTAGTGCGCTATGCGCCGAGGTGAGACGTGATCTCCATGGCTCCAGCACCACCGTTGAAGGCTTAGCAGTAGAGTAGGTAACCTTTAACCTTTTTTGGGTTAATATATTCCCCTTATAATCCCAAAGGTTAACCTTTGAAACCCCTAGGTACTGGACAACTAAGAAGGGCTCACACGCCTCCTACACAGGGTTTCAGACCTTGAACTGCTTAGAACCCTAAGCGAACTCCTCGAAGTCCCCTTCACTTTGTCATAGTGAGGTAACATTTTGCAAGGATTAAGGGGACTTAAACGCGCAATAAGGAATAGGAATTTCTAGAATTTTAGTACTATCCTAACCCATGAGCTGACATCCTAATTCTCAGCCCTTTCAAAACCCGAGCCCTCAACCCTCTAAGCTTAGAGGCTTGAGGTTGCATGTTCATATCCATTCTCAGCTGTCCAGGAATCGAGCGCAGAAGCCCAGAATTCGAAAAAGGCATAAGGATTTAGGGTTTAGGGTTTAAGGTTTAGGCTTGAGGGTTTATAAAGTTTCGGACGCTTTCTGCCGGCAAGTAGACAAGTCCCCATGCAGAGTCCTCCACTCCGCAGACACCTTCTGCGAGCTTACGAACCCTACATCCCAAATCCAAGACCCAAATCCCTAAATCCTAACAACTAGGATGCCCAGTAGTACCCTTATTCCCTTTTTTGGGGGGTTTAGGTTCCCTTATAAACCCCTTTAAGGAAAAAAGGGCACCCTTTTCAAGCCTTGGTTTCTGGGCAGCCTAGAGAACTGTGGCAGTGTTTGAAACTGGGTTGGCTTTTGGGATTCGGGATATTTTGAGATATTCTATCTTTTCCTTGCTTGGCCTTATGGAGGTCCCTATATGCAAGCACTTCAAGTACTTCTCAAACCCTAAACCCTAAACCCCGGGGTGTTTTACACCCGAGCGAGCGAATACGACCTACACACCCTCAACCCGAAGGCCCACCCAAGAAAGGTTTATCTAGGTAGGTGTGTGTGTGTGTGTGTTCCGTCGAGCCGGCGTTTTGCCATGAATCCCCTGCTCCCCCAAGCAAACCAAATCCCTAGACCTGGGTTTAGGGTTTAGGGTTTAGGGTTTAGGGTTTAGGGTTTAGGGTTTAGGGTTTAGGGTCGTTTTTGAAGGCTAAGTAAGCCCTTCAACTCTAAACACTAAACCCTAAACCTGACAGAGGTACCCGATATAGGTAGCCGCTCCTTAACAGGGTATACATACGGGGATATAAGGTGCCCTACAGAATCCCTCAAAAGGGTATACATAGGGGGATTGTTGAGGGCTTTTGGTTCAATCCGAGTTCCTCGTCACCAGAGCTGTGGGTATACGGTTTCGGGTCAAGGGGAGGGACACCAGGGATTTGGTAACCCTAAACCCTGAACCCTCAACCCTAAACCCTAAACCCTAAACCCTAAACCCTAAACCCTAAACCCTAAACCCTCAATCCTAAGCCCTCCCTCCCCCCCATTGTCTGGCCCCACCCCTCTCCAGTGTGAGTGTTGTCCCACCTTCTCTGCCCCATGTGGGGTTTGGGGCCTTGGGTTAGCAGGTTTGGGTCTGCCGGCTTTTGGATTTTGGGTGTAGGGTTTTCAGGGGTTTGGGGCAATAGGGTTTATAGGGCTACCTGAAGGGATGACAGTGCTTATGGGGCTTGTGGGGTTTATAAGGTTTGTACGATTTATGAGGCGTTTTAGAGGGTTTATAGGGTTGACAGGGCTTGCAGGGCTTAACATCCTGCAGGGTTTAGGGCTGAGAGTTTATTGTTTGTAGGGTTTAGAGGACGCATGCGATTCAAGAATTGTGTGTTAATGTTAATGTGCGGTTCTCTTTGTAGCACGTCTGGAACAGGGACGCCTGGGGAGAGACTTATGTGATTGCAGGCGTGAAGGCGAGTGTGGAGTCCTGAGCCTGCATTATACGCCGCTGTTACTCTTGTTCCAATCGAAGCCCCAGTTGTTTGCTCTCAACTAGGCAATGGCAACATCATTGACGGCCTTCACAGCAATGCACAGGAGTCGTAGTCAGCTGTCAGTTAGCAGTAACCATAGCAATGACTTAGGTGGATCCCCCAAGCCACGAACAGAGAGCATATACCACAATGGTAAGAATACTCAGTGTTGCTGTCATGGACTTCCACTTCGCAAGTCTTCTCCTTCCCAGGAAACACAACGGTTTTTCGACGTGATAGGAACACATCAAAACCGCTCAAGCCTCGCCTTAAACCTTCTGCCCTTTGCTTTGCGTGCCTGGACACTGAAGCCTGACGCTCGTGAGCATCCGATGTCCAAGAAGCAACTGGAGCCGTCGTGGGGATGGGCGGCGGCGACATACTGCCCTTCGCTTGTGCCATATGATGGTGACCGTTTGACAGCCGAAGTGCCAGATGCCCAAGGTCCATTGCGCTGCTTCCTGGGGGCCATCGCCGAAGCAAGAACGGACAATGTGGGCGATGACACTTCCCGCCTTGCGAGCTCCTCATCAGACTGGCCAAGTACTTCCTGGCCAGGGTCGCCTCGATGGGACGAAAGATGGGAGGCACATGCCCTGGTAGCTCCACAATGGCAGCCGCCTGGCCCGAATTCTGGGGCCCCTGCCACAGCAGCTGTGGAGCCAATCGTGCCTGCCGCCCAGCAAGCCTCTGCTGATACCCGGGAGAGGCAGCTGTTGACCAGTTCCGGCCACCGCAAGCAAGAGGTTGTGGAAAGCATCTGTAAATATCTGGACATGCCAGCCAGGCCGCGTGAAACAGCCTTCTCGGAGAGGTTGCTAATGCGGTTGCCAGACATGATGCACTTCTACGAGCAGCAGGCAGAGGAGCGGCGTTCGCAGAGATTGTGGAAGAAGAGAATTGATGCAGTTGTCGGAGACCGCATCAACGAGCTCTACTTGGTCATGGAGTGCATGAACAAGGGCTTGACATCAAAGGACTATGACAGGCTCCGCCGGGAGATTCTGTCTGCCAAAGGCTTGGGGGAAGGCAGAGGCAGGACCGAGGCAGAAGCAAAGGAGGAGAAGGTCGGAGCATATGCTAAGGAGCACAGCCACCGCATGCAAAGCATGATGTCACCTGCGGTGGAATCTGCCATCTTTGAGCAAGGCCAGGGTGAGAGCCTGCGCGCTCGCGTCGTGCGACGAGTGGAGGAGGAATCAAAGACCCTTCTAACCCTGGACGAAATGGACTTCACCCAGGGGCTTTCGGATGATGTTTTTCACGGCAAAAAGCCCGAGCTGATCAACGAGGTCTCCCTTCGGATGGGAGTCGGCAAGATTTCCGAGGTTCAGCGAGGCGTTGGGAAGCTCGTGGCCTGGTTCCAGAATGCCAGGGAGCTGCGACTGGACCGCCTTGACTTCTCTGGAACCAAACTTGCAGACGATGCTTTGGGCCTTATCCTGAAGCTTCGTTGCTTCGGCAAGCTCAGATTCCTTGGATTGGTAGACACGCTGGTCAGTGTCGACGGGCTTTGTGAAGTTATCGAAGAAGTCTTCAGGTGTCGGGCTGGAGAGCCGGAGCGGGAGCATAACCCGTGGCTAAAGGTGAAGATGGGCTACAAGTTCTGGCCGCACAACCAACCACAGGATCAGCAGAAGAAACGATGGTGCGTCTTAAAGGACCGCCTTGGGGAGGTCGGAGGAAACTGTCACTATTTTAGCAGTAAGCGCTGGGTGTTGCATATCTTCAAGGACCAGAAGCAGGATGGAGGCGCACTATCTGGAAGACCGTTGCTGAAGGTGTGTGCCTGATCACGCTGGAAGAGATGGCACTGAAGATTCTTGGGAAGGAGGAAATACTCCTGAGACGTATGCCCCACCTTCGCTTTGCAAATAATCTGGAGGAGGGAATATGGACGATTATTGTACTTATACCTCACGACATTTGAATCTGAAATTCTTGGCTGGGACAAGGATAGGGACAGATACTTGGGTGGGGATGGACGAGATATCAATCTTCTTGGGTTCGTTGATCTGGAATCCTCAATTTCTTATATTAATTCATGTATATGGTTATAATATTCGAATATCGTATCCCTAAGAAATCTGAATTTTGAAGGGATGAATTCAGAATGATAATAATCTTTAGAGATATCAAAACGAATGCCGACAATTGAGATTAATCTCTTGCTCAAACGAAATCTATATCATCCAAAATGATCTTCTAGAACCATCATCTGCCGGAGCGCTGCAAATTGATAAATTCTGGAGCCGCTTTGGTACGTTTGTTGTTTGGGCTCCGTGCCTTCAAATTCTTATAATTCGGGGTGGTGGTGGGTCTTTTTGCCTTTGATTTCATTGGATTTGTCTACGGCT